TTCCACAGGAGAGGAGCCTGATAACTAAAAGAGCTTGGCCATTTAAGGCTTTATATGTGAGAAGGAGGATTTTAAATTCTATTCTTGATTTAACAGGAAGCCAATGAAGAGAAGCCAGGATAGGCGAGATATGATCTCTCTTTTTAATTTTCATCAGAACTCTGGCTGCAGCATTTTGGATCAGCTGAAGGCTTTTAACTACAGATTGTGGACTTCCTGATAGTAAAGAATTACAATAGTCCAGCCTTGAAGTGACAAATGCATGGACTAGTTTCTCAGAAAGCAGCCAAATGAAATGAACGATGCAGCTCTGAGTATTTTTCTGCCTCCTGTAATGGATCTTTGCAGCTCAGTTGTTCTTCTTTGCGTTTGCAGGAGCTGAACCAGGCCAGGACCACATGCATCCTGGAGGATGTCACTCCAGGAACTTACGTCATCGAGGTACACGCTGCAGCTCTGTGCTGTTTGAACTGCTTTATTTTTTAAAGTTAAGTGATGATGATTTAAAGAGCTATACATCTCTGATAATGCATATGTTCTTTTCTTTTAGCTAAAAGACAACAGCAACACGAGCAGGAGGCAAATTCAGTACCACGTCAGCCAGGGTGAGATGGTTGTTTATTTAGGCTGCAGATCTTTGCTGTTTTAATCTAAATAAATTTTTTCAACATTTATGCTGGAATGTATCTTTAAAGTTTCCGTCTTTTTGTGTTGAACTGTTTTTTAATCCAGAGGGTGTGTGCAGGAACATACTCGGCTTCTTGGATAACCCAGATAGATTCGTCTTTCCTTCCAAACATTCAGAATTACGCCATTTCTCACTGAATGCGTTTGTTTTATCCACCAGTCCACTCCCCCTGGGCGGGGCCGATCCGTGCCATGGCCATCACCGTGCCTCTGGTCATCATGTCTGCCTTTGCCACCCTCTTCACCGTCGTGTGTCGTAAGAAGCAGCAAGGTGAGGCCAGCCTGTGAAACTCAGAGCTGCCATCTTTTCTTTGGATGTCTCTGTGTTCGTTAACTCTTTGGGTGGAGGTGACGGCATGCTGCAGAACCGCAGCTAAATAATCAGAGAAGCTATGTTCCTTCCAGTCCTGCATCCAGGCTGCCTTTGCTTTCATGGACTGTTAATGATGACTGCAGAACCAGGGGTGGATTTAGGAAATATGGGGCCCTAGGCAAAGACAGGCATGGGGCCCTCTGGATGGAGAAGACAACACATAAAACAGACCCATTCTCCTGATGTAGAAATGTTAATAGAATAGACATCCATTATCTGTTCTAGGTT